TTTTAAAAAAAAAAAAAAAAAAAAAAGAAAGAAAGAAAAAAAAAAAAAAAAAGGAAAGCTTTAGAATATAAATTTACATTTTGGGTAGCCTTGCAAGAAAAAAATCTTTAGACCCAGTCAATTTTACAGGAGAATTCTACCAAACCTAGAAAGAAGATAAGAACAGCAGGTCTCATAATCTCTTCCAGAAAGTGGAAGTGAAGGGAATGCTTCTTAGCTTATTTTATGAGTTTAGCATCACTCTGATACTGAAACCAGACAAAACCAATATAAAACAGAAATACAGACCAATATCCCTTTTGAACTTAGGTGTAAAAATCATCAATAAAATACTAACAAATTGAATCCAGCATGCAATATATACATACACATATAACCCAGTGTAATTATCCCACCAATCTAAGACTGATCATTTTTCAGAAATTAGTCATTGCGGGAACCAGCAGTTAGCGTAATGGCTATGGCGCTGGACTCCCACGTAGTCAACCGCGGTTCGCGCCCCAGACCCGGTGGCTTAGAACTCACGCTGGGCGCGTGTGTGTGCGTGCCCAAGATCCCGAGAGGAGAATGGAGGAGAAGGGATTGCGGCATGACCATCCCCCCAGGGGGTGATTTCTCGCTTTCTGTCTCTATGTCTCTCTCTGCCTGGCGAGCGCACGCGCCCTATAGCGAAAACCTCTCCAGGAAAAAAAAAAAAAAGTAATTAGTTATTGACATCCACAAGGTGATTATATCAGTTGATATAGAAAAGCATTCAGGAAAATTTGGGTGGATAAGGCATTGGATCCTATATGGCCAACCCTGTGGTTTGAATCCTGGACCCAGAGACTTGAGACACTCTGTGTGTGTGTGTGTGTGTGTGTGTGTGTGTGTGTGTGTGTGCACGCATGTACGTACACATGCCCAAAATCCCAAGAAGAGAATGGGGGAGAAGGGATTGCAGTGTGGCCATCCTCCCAGGGACTGATTTCTCACTTTCTCTCTCTCTGTCTCTGATGTGTGTACATACCCTATGGCAAAAATCTAAATAAGAAAGCATTCACCAAAATTCAACATCCAATTATGATTACAAACAGAAAAACTGTCAGCAAAGGGTAATAGCGGAGGAACTTATCTAATCTGATGAACAGCATTCACAAGAACACCTACAGCTAATATCATACTTAATGGTGATGGCAAGTGGCTGGATGTCTTCCCTTGGGATTAGGACTAAGGCACAGATGTCCACTCACCACTGTCTGTTCAGCATTGTAAGGGCAATCCTAGCAGGAAGGCAGCATAAAGAAATACAAAGCCTCTGAAAGTAGAGAGGAAGAACTAAAACCAGCTGTGTACGCAAATGACATGATTAAATATATGGAAAATCCCAAAGAGTTTACCAAGAAACTTCCAGAACTAAGTAATAGTTTAGTAATGTTGTAGAAGGCAAGGGCAGCACACAGTACTCAATCCATTTTTCTACCGATACATACAATTGGAAACTTTTTTTTTTTTTTTGGAGTTTTTGCTATAGGGTGCATGCGCATGCCAGAGAGACAGAGAGGAACAGAGAGATAGAAAGTGAGAAATCACCCCCCAGGGGGATCGCCATGCCACAATCCATTCTCCTCCATTTTCCTCTCGGGATCTTGGGCATGCATGCACACGCTCCCGGCATGAGTTTAAGCCATTGGGTCCAGGACTCGAACCGCGGTCGACTACATGGGACTACTCAGCGACATAGCCATTATGCTAACTGCTGGTCCCGGAAACTCATTTTTAAAAGATGATACCACTTACAAGAACATAAAAAGAAACATTAGTGGGCCAACAGGTGATATGATGGGTAAGGTGGCTGAATTCCCACATGGCCAATTGCAGTTCAAGTTCCAGACCCGGTAGCTTGAAAATCACTCCAGGTACACATGTGTGCATGCCCAAAATCCTAGAGGAGAATGGAGGAGAAGGGATTGTGGTGTAACTATTCCCTTTGGGGGATGATTTCCCATTTTTCTTCTCTCTGTCTCTTTTCCAGTGAGCTCTCACATCCTATAGCAAAAAAAAAAAAGAAGAATAAAAAAGTGTATGTGTGTATATATAAATCTAACAAAGCATGCATGAATCTTTTATGCTAAAAACTATAAAATACTAATACAAGCAAAGAAAACTTAAATAAATTGTAGAATATGCTATGTTCATGAGTTGAAAGACTCAGTGTAGCAAAAATGCCATATCTCCTAAAATCAAATTATAAATTTAACTCAAGCCCGAGAGAAATCTTACCAGGGTATGTTTGTACATGTAGGCAAGCTAACTCTAAATGTTATGTGGAGACAAAGCAACTATAATAACTAAAATGATTTTTTCAAAGAATAAATTTGTAGGGATCAGTCTATTTCGTTTTAAAGATTTACTACAAAGTTACTGTAATTAAGACATTGTGGTATTGTTGAAGGGATAAACCACATAGATAATGGTACTGAAGAGAGCCCAGAAATAGATCTGCACAAATAAGATTCATTGGATCTTTGAGAGAAGTACAAAAACAATTCAGTGGAGAAAGGATGGACTTTTTCAATATGTGGTGCTGGGATAGTTGGACATCCCTGTTATCTTACATCTTACATAAAGATTTACCCAAAATGGATTATATATCTAAATATGAAATTTTAAACCGTAAAGCTTTTAGAAGAAAACATAGGAGAAAATCTTTAAGACCTTGGTTAGGCAAAAAGTTCTTAGGATACCAGAGGTATGATTTATCAAATAAAAAGTTGATAAATTTGACCTGATCAAAATTGAGAACTTATGTTTTGCTTGGGACCAGTAGATGACATAATGGTTACATCTCTGGACTCCCACATCATCAGCCACAGTTCGGGTCCCATACTAGGAGGCTTAAAACACATGCTGGGGAGCATGTGCATACGTGCCCAAAATCCTAAGAGGAGAATGGAGAAGGGATTGCTGCATGGCCATCCCCCCTAGGAGGTGATTTCTCATTTTCTGTCTCTCTCTGGCACATGCACGTGCCCTGCCACAAAAATCTCTCTCTAGTTTAATTAATTTATTTATTTTAATTTGACTAGAGAGGAGAGAGAGAGGAAGCCACCAGGTTTGGGACTCGAACTGCAGTCAGCCATGTGGGAGTCCAGTGCCCTTAACCACCACGCCACTTGCTGACCCCCAAAAATCTCTCTTAAAAAAATAAAAGAACTCCTTTCCCCTGGCTGGCAGCGTGGAGGCTGCACGATGCCTGGAGTTACTGTAAAAGACATGAACCAGCATGAGTTCGTCAGAGCTCTGGCAGCCTTCCTCAAAAAGTCTGGAAAGCTGAAAGTCCCTGAATGGGTGGACACTGTCAAGCTGACCAGTCATAAAGAACTTGCTCTCTGCGATGAGAAGGTTCTACACACGAGCTACTTCCATAGCATGGCACCTGTACCTCTGGGGTGGTGCTGGAGTTGGCTCTATGACCAAGATCTACGGGGGACGACAGAGAAACGGTGTCATGCCAAGCCACTTCAGCCGAGGCTCCAAGAGTGTGGCCTGCCAAGTCCTTCAAGCCCTAGAGGGGCTAAAAATGGTGGAAAAGGACTAAGATGGGGGCCGCAAACTGACACCTCAGGGACAGAGAGATCTGGACAGAATCGCTGGACAGGTGGCAGCTGCCAACAAGAAGCATTAGGACAGATGATGCTGGGTTAATAAATTGCCTCATTCTTAAAAAAAAAAAATCTTATGCTTTGCTGAAAATATAAACAAATAAGAGACAGACTGCATATTAGGAAAAAATTAATTGCAAATTACGTGTTTAAACAAGGAATTGTGTCTAAAATATATAAGGAACTTTTAAAACTCATGAGTAGAAGTAAAAGTCTAGTTAAAAAAAAATAGGCAAATGACCTAAACAGATACTTCATTGAAGAGGATAAAGAAATGGCAAAAAGCACATGAAAAGATGTGCTCAGTATCACTGATCTCTAGGGAAGTACAGATTAAAGCCACTGCAAGGTACCTCTAACCTACTGGAATGGCTGAGATGAGGAAACAGTGACGGCACCAGATGCTGGCTAGCGGTGCTGGGCAGCTAGAACATGATATGCACTGGTGGGAATGGCTTCGTCTTTCAGTTTCTTACAAAATTCAACATACGCTTTTTATGCGGCCCGACAAAGTCCAGCACTCCCGGGTATATACTTTGGAAAAGTGAAAATTTACGTGTTTTTTAAATTTTTAAAAAATTGTGGTTAAGTAGACATATCATAGAATTTACTGTCTTAGCCATTTTTTAGTGTATTAAGTGTATTTTAGTGGTATTAAGTCCATTTATGCTGTTATACAACCATCACTACCATCCATCTCCAGAACGTTTTCACCATCCCAAACTGAAACTCGACTTGGTAAGCACTCTCTTCCCTGGTCCTCCCAGCAACTAGCAACCACTGTTTCATCTCTATGAATTTGACTGTTCCGGGTATCTCACTTGAATGGAAACATACACTGTTCGTCCTGTTGTGGCTGGCTTGCTTCACTTAGCATAACATCCTCAGGGCTCATCTCTGTTACAGCATGTGTTGGAATTCCATTTCTTTGTAAGACTGAATAATAGTCTGTTGTATGTATATACTACATTTTGCCCATTCATCTGTCAGTGAACACTTGAGTTGTTTCCACGTTTTGACTATTGTTAATAATGCTGCTATGGGGACCAGCAGTTGGCGTAATGGCTATGTCGCTGGACTCCCACATAGTCAACCGTGG